CAAATCTTCTTTTACTTGAAAAGAAGAAAGGTCAGCATAATTACTGGTCTAATGCATAATAATGCATATGGACTCATGTCAATTGATGTCAGGTAATGTTTCTCTTATTTCATCAATGATCATGTATACTTGATGAAACTCAAATATGAAACTGTTGAAAAGTTCAAGGGATCAAACTAGAAGCAGAGAAACAAATAGGTAAAGATACCCTCACATTAAGATTTGATCGAGTGAGAATATCTTAAAGATAAAATTTAGATTATCTAAGAGAGAATGAGATTCTCTTGTAGTGGACTTTTCCATATACACTGCAGCAGTGGTGTATCTGAAAAGATAAATCGTTAACTACTAGATATAATGTGATTAATAATAAGCCATGCAAACCTCCCAAAATCGTTTTGGAATTATGCACTGATTGCAGCGTGTTGTACACTAAATCATGTCCCACCTAAATTGATTAACAGAACCCCATACGAGTTATGGAAAGACAATAGTCACAACTTATCTCATATGAAAGTTTGGGACTGTGATATTTATTTGAAGAACATTGAATCGGATAAGTTTGAAACTAAATCCGATAAATACATATTTGTGGAATATTCAAAGCAGATATTTATATATAGTTCTATTAACCTATTGAAAAGAAAGTCTTCGTCTCACGACATATCGCCCTCTTGGAGAAAATGTTTACTCTAGGAGATGACAGTGGGAGCAAAATAGAACTTAAAAGAGTTCAATAGTCCACAGATATAGTTAATCAAGTAGACGAATTCGAGTTTTAGCCCATATCTGATATGGGACATACTCTTAATCAAGGAGTAGAGACTCCTGAGAACATGTCAGCTCTATGTGAGTCTAGTAGGATCATTCGACCTTCAAGAATGTGCGAATCCGTGATTACTAATTACGTATTACTGATCTAGGATGATGACTTACTAATTGCACAAAAATAAAGTCAAGTTTTGACTTAAAAGAGATAGCAGGAAGCTATGAAACCCGAGATGAACTTGACGTATGTAAACAAGGTTTGGACCTTGGTTGACCCTTCTGATGAGATAAAATCCATAGGTTGTAAATGGTTTACAATAAAAGGTTGACATGGATGGGAATATCCATACATACAACGCAAGACTAGTAGTAAAAGGTAACAGACAAAGACAATGTGTTGACTTTGATGAAACTTTTCGCATGTAGCCATGCTGAGGTCCATTCGAATTTTGGTTGCAATAGTTGCATACCATGACTATGGGTTAAAACAAATCTCTTGGAGCTGAAATCTTTGATTTTATGGAAAAATCAAAATGTTTGATTTTATCAAATATAAAGACGAATTGTGTGCTTACAAGAAGATAGTGGGAGCAGTCGCATTCCTAATATTATAGGAAACGACATCCCTCTATTTTAATCGTTGAAATAATGGTTGTTAAAGGATCTATTCGTAGACTATATGGGGAAGTAACTTGATCTATAGAGATAGATATAGAAAATTGCTTAACTATCCCAATCTATATAGATAAAATCTTGAGAAGATTTTATATGGAAAAATTGGTTTACTCTTAAACGGTGTGTTAGAAATGTTCCAAATATGAAACAACCATTGGTTCATTGGTAGAAACCTAATACATGATTGCTTCAGAAGCAGCAAAGAGTTGTGATGTGGATCAAGATGTTCGTTAATGAACTTGGAGTAGTTTCTAATATTATTGATCACATACAGTTGTATTGTGTGACAATAGAGCCACCGTGAAAGCGAGGGACTGAGGTCTCATCAATGATCCAAACATGTATTAAGGCGGTACAATCTCATCAAAGAGATAACACATAGAAATAAAGTAAAAAGAAGAATAAATTTCCACATTTAACAATATTGCAGATCCACTGACAAAGAGTTGTCGCAGCTTAAATACGATCATCATGCAGACTCTTATGATATTGGATACATAAGTGATTGGATCAAGTGCAAGTGTTATGCCTTAGGTCTAATCAACTTTGGACATAAATAATTTTTGATATATAATTAATGCAATTTAATGACAAATCTATTATTTAATTAATAGACAATTAAATTAAATAATAGAATTCGTAGATTCAAATCTTCGTAATTTGTTAATCACAAGGAGTTGTGATTATGAGATACAAATTACATATGATTGAATCTTAAAATCGTCTGTGGTCGTAAATAATAAATAGATATGGATATTATTATTACGGATAAAGCATCACATGTGACATTTCTTACTTATGAAGTAAGTAGCTGATCTCACAAGCTAAAGTGTGGTGACACTTAAATGAATATGTGGATTTTTTTTTATAGAACAAAACGTTGAAGACCCGTCGAGAGATTCCACATGGATAACTATCTAAGTGATAGTGGTTAATCTCTAACGTTCGGTAGTGGGATTGATCATTTTGACTTGAGGTCGTCATAGTACTTTATATGAGGACGGTCATGCTTTGACAGTGTCGGATGTTGCTCTGCTAAGGGTCGCTAATACGGCATTGTTCGGGTCTATCAAGAATCATATGAAGGTTGTGAATGACCAATAGAGGATCCATCACTCTTAGATAGTAAGATGTTATGATCAGCATTTCATTCAATTAAGTCGATAACGAAATCCTTGGTCAAGGTGTACTCATAAGTCGAAAAGAAATTTTCAACTTATATTGACTTAATAGTGGAGTGAAAGATATGATCGATAATCGAGATTGACATACTTCCACATCTCGTAATTGATCGGATTATATTGAAGAACGGATTATAGTTTCACGGTAAATGAACGAGTTTGGTTTTGTCATACCACGTGACATTTTTCGTCATATGTATTGCTCTGACACATTGTTAGATGTCAATATGGGACGGTGAGTGTAATTGGTCATAAATTAAAAGTGTGTTTTAATTTATCTATTTTGATTAGATCAAAATAATATTTCACGTCGTTAGGCATCGTGATCGGAAACCTGATAGGTCGCAAACAAAAGGATAATTGAAAGATTGTGATTTGTCAATTAATTAATTTAACAAGTGTTGGATAAATTAATTAATTGGGTTGCTTATTTATATGCCTGAATTAATTAATTGGATTAATTAATTCACGGACCGAATTTAATTAAATGAGTTAATTAAATATTGGCCGGGGTCAGGCTAAGCCCGTTTGGACTTATATAAATATGATTAGGGTTTTCAAAATTGTAGTGATTTTTCATTATTCTTGCTAGCACAAGTAAAACCCTAATACTACAATCTTGTTCTCTGTGTAGATTACCGTTGGAGGCTGGACAATTGGACAGTTGTAGGAGACAAATCCAAGTTGCTGGAACAAAGATAAGGCGAAGGAGTTTGCAGATTGTGAAAAGATATCACTTTTATCACAATTTCTATCTAAACACAAAGATGAATTCTGATGAGAATCGAAATATGTTTTAATTTTCCGTTATGCTTGTTAAGTAGATTCCCAACAGTGTACTATTAAAGTCCCAATTTGAAGACCTAGACAAGTGTAACACTTATCAATGCTCATCACACAGGTAGACACTAATTGTAAAAAAGATTTAAGGATCTCTATTCCCTTGGCTGAAAACAAACCCCTGATCCAACCTTTACCTTACTCTAGGGTTTATGTTTATTCTTGCAATTGTTTTATTAATTTATTTTTTTCCGACTACGAGCAAAAGTGAACCAAGATATTTGTCATGTTCATAGAATTACGCAACCCTTTCAAACTCTATTAGTTTGTCCTATTTTAGAATTCAAGAAAATAATGCACTTATCAAAGTTGATGCAAAACTTGTTGTGAAGTTAGTGTGGATGTGAAATTAAAATTCTTGAATGAAAAAGAATGACGGAAAAACTCAAAATTTTATGGAGGATTTAATTATAATGAATTGGTTAGTACAAAAGAATGCTAAACCCCTTCTTAAATAGGCTAAGAAATAACTAAACTCCTAATTCTAATGGTGTAAGGAAACAACATCATTAAAGAAAAGAAGACTAAAATCCAAACAGAAGTAGAATTAACAAACCAAAAAGAAATAAACGGAATGAAAAATTACAAATTAATACAAAAAGAAAGTCTAACGACAATAAATAATTCATATCCTCTTGGATAGGATTGCCGTATCTTCCCCACTTGGAAAAATGTGTACTTGAGTTTGGTTAAGAAAGAGAAAATAATCGGTCTGAAGGAAAATAATTCAAAATTTGTAAAGTAATGCTATTCATAATCACTTACGGTGTTAGTAGTCCTATCTAACATTCTACATGGTGGTTTGTAATTTGATGTATTAATGTAATAGTTTTTTCTTTGCTCATATATCAAATTACTAATCGACATATGTATACCACGTAGAGCGACTATAATAGTGAGTGACGGCGAGTAGCGTTATTCAAATTTGTATCGTCACATTACGAGAAGTTGAAACTAACTTGAACTCAAGAAAAATATATAGCCACATTGTTGCTTTTAGAGTCCGTTGCATCGACTAATATTCATAGCAATCAAAGTACTCAATTTTTTTGTCAACATCATCTTCGAAACTGATAATCATCGCCCTTAGTACAAACCACATTCGACCCAATCATAGGCCTCATTATACATTCCATTAGATATCCTGATATCTAATATTGTATTGAAACAGGATTGTTATTAACCTCAAAGTTTAGGATGGTTTTACTAACATCTAACACCTAATCTTGTTGAAAAATGAAATTCACATTTTATTTAAAAATTTACTGGCAAGCAACGAAGTCGAAACAACTGAACTGTACTTGGTAAGATATTTTCTTTCAAAATTTCTATTCTTTCAAAAACAAAAATAAATTAACTCTTCGGAGCTCTTGCTTTGTAGGTGGTTCTTTGTGGCTTTGTTAATGATATGTGCCACTAATGCTAAAAATTAAATAAGTAGCCACTTCAGCAAAATATAGGGAAAAACTTTCCGTCTATTTAGCCTCAAGAGAGAGCTAAATTTGTAAGAGGGAAAACACATTATAACATGCATCATAAACATTAGAAAATCAAGATTATCATTCTTTGTGGAAAGCTGCAAGCAAATTATAGTCATAAATATTACATAAAAAAACTTTTTGAATCATAACAGATAAATCAAAAACATTATTCAGTAAAACTAGTTAACATTTTGCATAATTTCCTTAGTGATTACTTCACTCAACCCTTTTTGGTCAAAGAAATTACCAAATAAAAGAATTTTGCCCTAGTTTTGGAAATATAATCACCAACCAGCTCAGCATATCTTTTAAACAATTCATCCATGATTTCTTTTCCAAAATGGACTTCCAGCATTGATTCAGCCACAGCCCTAATTGTTTTAACAGCTTGCTGACCCCCATCCCATTCAATCTCGATGGCCTCAAGACAATTAATCGTGAATGAACCTTCTTCTTCTACTACAGATCTCACTTCCTGAGCAGATGGAGCATAACTGGGTGCATTGAAAGAATCAATCTTCTCTTCTTCAATAATACCCTGAAGTCATCAATTTAACTCAAGCTCAAGGACTTGCATGCATGCATATAAACGCACATGCTAAAAGGACCATTCATTTGATCAACTTTTTTCTTCGAGGAATACTTGAAATAGAATCAACTTAAATTTGAGATCAATGTTTTAAATTTTAGTAAAAACAGTGCATTTCGTATCTCATATAAGCTTTATGTAAAAAAACCAATTGATGTTAAGGGATTTCTTCGAACAACTAAGGGCATGATCAACAATAAAATAAATGAGAATGAGCATCTCATTTTCCCATTTCTTCTTGAGAAACAAGTGAGCTATTTCTTTGCAAAATTTCCCTATTTCATATGTGGCAATTCACCGCTAAGATATCTCCATTAGTTGGGAAATAATCCTTATGAATTGGATTCTTTGAGAAACACATTGAAAGAGAATTTGATTCGATTACACAATCCGATGTAAGTGATATATAAATACATAATTTTAAATGCTGTTTAAAAGCTTTTGATGAAAATTTTATTAGGTTTTCATAAAAAAATAAAACATGTGATCGAAAAATTGATAAAGTTGTAGATTTATAAAATGTTTGATTAAAGTTAATTATTAACTTCGACATCAACCTTTTAGTAAATTTATAAAATTTCCCAAATAAATAGTTAATAAAAAAGAAAGGAAATATAAATGGACTAGAAAAGTTGTTTAGGGGTTTGGGGAGAAAGGGTGATGGTGGAGCACATGGGAAGGAACTACGTTCTGAATTTCTCTCTTAATTTTCTTTTTCTTTTTTCTTTTTTTTTTTTGTTTTAATTAAAATAGATGTAAAATTTCTTTTTAATGAAAATCAAAGTTTTTAACGTCAACTGAATGAAATTGTTTACTTGGAATCGGTGAACCCCAAAACTTAAAAGTTGGGATCAAGTTGCCAAAATCCGAAGATTGCGAACCAAGTTGCACAATGTCGGTAGATGGGACAAAAAAAGTGCACCAAATATTTAGCAAATAATAATTTACCTCTAAGGCCATACTCATGAGAGCTTGTGCTAGGAGTTCCCACTGCATGCAACTCTCTCCTGATGCGGGATCGGCAGAGACTCTGCCTATGAATGACAACACCATGTGTCCATCAACAACCATTTCTTCCGATCGAGATTTCAGGAACAATGTGAAATCTCTCTTAAACTGTGATAAATATGCATCCAGTACGCTTCTTGGACTTGATTTTGATATATAGATTTTTCCTTTGTTCAGAGGCTTGAGGATGTTTGAATCCAAAACTCGTGGAACCTGAGGTTAATGATAAATTTAGAAAAATGAATAATGGCATAGATGGGTGTTCTGCTTATAGATGTTTAATTCAAGAGTAATTCAGCATGGTGGTAGAGTCGGTAAAAATTATATGTTTTTAAGTCTTCGTGTCACTTGTCTATGAGAAACTATGTACGTGTTAGCCTTGAAGAAAAACAAATTGAAGATTAATATACATTCAATGATGTAAGTTGATACAAGAACTTTTCGTTGACATAGATAATAAAAGAAGCCCAATCAATATTCTTTATTTATTTATTTTTTCAAATCAAGGATTAGGCTAAAAAAAAAAAATTCAACTCGAGCACCGTTTGTTTAGGCCATACTTGGAAATTTCCTTATAAAATAGGTACAAGCGATGTGTAGTAGTCCACCAATTAAAGATGGAGAAGGGCTGTAGGTTTTTGTAGCGAAGTTTATAGGATGAAAAAGACAGAAATTATAGGCAATTCTTAATTGTCTTTAAAACTCTAAAATCTCAATAATTGCACAAGAAACACATGAAATTACACTTTTAAATTATGATTCGCATGCGTATTCTTCGTATAATTTGTTTAAATAATTTGTTATTTACTCTAAATAATAGCCTAGGGGAAACTTATTGCTTTATCTATTAAAACTTCTGACTGATTTACTTGATGGAGAGCCCTTTTCAAGTAACATGAGGCTCCTCTTCATACAAGATTTATTTTGTGAGTCTAGTTAGGCATACTTTTGAAGTGTTTGACAAAGTTTAGATCAAATTTGAATTAAAAAATGTGTCTTCTTAGTGTATAAGATTTTACATGAGATGGTCATATCAAAGCATACATAAGTCATGAGTTTTTGTCTCGTCACTATCAATTTATGAAAAATTTTCGAGACAATGATACTAACCTGTGAAAGCCAATGGAGACTCGAAGAAGAGTGAACAAAATGCAGACTCTTTTTAGGAAACAACCTCCCATAAAAAGAGCCAGCCACACCTGAAATAAAGCACCCTTCCTGCCCAATGTTCTTCTCCTTTTTGAGTTGATTGTAGAACTCCGGCAAAGAGATAAATATGCTATTGAAATCATTGCCCGGAAGATCGTTCAATGAAACCCTTATCTCCGGCAATGGAATTTCCTTTTGATTACTTGTGGCATATATTGTATCTATTACATCAGAAATTACCATTAGACTGTTAGGTCCAGTTGAACATCCCAAATCTGCAATTCCCATACTATCAGGGAAATTCTTTTCCAAACACTTTTGCACTGCTTCCTTGATTATTGAAGTTTCAATTGATATTATCTTCTTCTGCAATTGCATGGAAACGTTTCAAAATACAGAATCAGAAAGCTAAACAACAGAGAGAGGAAGAACTTTTTAAGTTTGTCCTCAGATCTAAAAGCTCAAATCGTTCTACTTATCTAAAAGTTTAACAAACTTGTATAAAATTATACACTTTTGTGTGTGTGTGTGTGTGTGTAAATGGGTGGCAGCAAGAAGATATTTCATTTGAGGACGTTTTGATGGTATCACTAATATTGTGTTCACTTCCTTATTTTGAAAATGTTAAAGTTTATTAGTGAGGGAACGACCTAAAATATGTCTTCAAAAGTTCTGTTTCATTTGTTTGAATAAATTGGACAATATTAACAACTAAAAAACCAAGTTTCCATGGAGTTTCTTAAGATTTTGATTTGTCACTTCAATAAAATTTACTTGTTGAAAATACCTATAGGGTAAAATTCATTAGCACTTAATCTCTTCGTGATAAACAAATTTATTTCTGAAATTCTATAACTCTGCGAATCCTAAATCCCATAGAGTGCAAAAGATAAATTCAAAGACAGCCTCACTAGAATCGTTGTAAAGATAAATTTAGAATTTTTATGGTATTAATAATCGAACGTTAGCAAGAAACGGAACCTGCACAACTGAATTCTTGGCATAGCTGGTTTCCCCTTCTCCTTTGTTCATATGAAGAACTTGAACCACTTCCATCTTTCTGTTCTTTCTTTCTTGCTTCTGAATTTCCACAGGTATCTAGAATTGATATGAATGCATTAAGAATAGGTTGCTTCTATTTATAAATACACAAAAGAAGAAATGGGGTAATTAAATTTTTAGTCACCAAGCTTATATCTAAATGTCATCTAAGTTACCTAACTTGTAAATAAATGTTAGCCACTGGAATTTAAAAGTAATAAATTACCCTGTAGGTTGTATGTCAAGCCTACGTAGCTTGAACTATAGCGACTACAATACTTAGCTACAATACTTAGAATTGTGTCATATGTCACTATTCTATGTTCAACCTCACTAACTAAAAAATCTTCCCTCTCGATGGTTCCGTAAGACATTTATTTTAAACGTTTTAATTGGTGAGAAATAGAAATCATAATGCTATTCCATTGAAAACAATCAATTGTAGAATGAAATAAAGAGACATAAGATTTATAAAAAGTTTACTTTAATATGAGACTATGTAGTCAGTAGTCTTCCGTCCATGCATTAATTCACTAAGATGAAAATTGTTTATAAGAGAAAATCGCATAACTTGTCTACTTTAACCTCTATTTATCTCTTTTACGATGGTAACATAAAAGTCTAATGACAACTCTTCATTTATAAGATAAATTAGGACAAAATCAAAATTTAACACCCCCAGCCGCCTTGTGTTCCTGCCTCCTGGTCAACTTCATGACTTTTGAATGTTGGTTGCATTATTATATATATTGGTTGAATGTTCTATGAAATATTTTCAATCCTGGCGTGATCACTGTCTCCACTGCCGCAGCCCCCCACCTTGTGTTCCTGCCTCCAAGTCAAAATCATGCCTTTTGAATTTTGATTGCATTCTTAAATTTCCTATGAATATTTTCAATCAAGGCATAAAATCTTTCATCTTTTCTAGATTGTTCTAGTCCACAATAATATATAAACCTTTTTTTTTTTTTTCCAATTCCAATTTCTCACTTTGATCAACATGCAGATTACTTCTTATTTTATTCGTAATCACATTTAGTTCAATAATTCTGCATATTTTCTTCTTTATTAAAATATACAGAATACACTGATTGTGTTACAATCCATTTTTTATAGTCAAAAATTCAAATATTGACTAGTCAAAGTCAAAGTCAATCAAGGACTAAAATGAAATTTAATATTTTATTTGGGTTATTTTGCAATTTGCAAAATATAAAGGTTGAATTTGATATATTTAAAAGTTTGGAATTTATATATATACTTTTGGAAGTTAAAGGATTAAATGTTACTAAAAAGTGAAGTTAAGGAATTTATTGTGCAATTTTGGGTTTTGGACCAATTAATTCAAACCTTTGACCCATTTTTTTCTCATTTCACACCAAAACACACACACACACAGTTACGGAAAGCAGAGACCGAGAAAGAAGAAGGGAAAAAGGAAAAGAAAAAGGAAAAGAAGAAGGGAAAAAGAAAAGGAAAGGAGGTAAGGTTGATATCTTCAAGTTGGGTTGAAATTTTCCATTTGTTTTAGGTGATAAAGTATGAATTATGTTAAAATTTTTAGGGTTTTAACTTGTTGAATAATATGTCGAATTTTAGGGATATTTGCACAAATTGGAGCTCAAGTGTGGGGATTTATTCATTTCAAATTTTCAGCAAGGTATGGAGATGTCAAATTTTTGGGAAAACCCTAGAATCCGATTTTGGGGATTTTAATTAATTAATTGTGAAGTAATTATGTAAATGAAATATTTCACTTGGGAATTGATTTTATGGAACAAATGTATATTATGTGGGTGGAATTGTGATTACTAGTTTCATTAGATTGGAGAGTAAAATTAGTTTTAAATTTGAAATGATGGTTATGTTGATAAATTAGTGATTAACCAAGGGATTATAAGGTGTGATTAGCTCCAATTAATAAAGAAAAATTTGAGAATTTATTTAAGTACCAAGAGCATTTAAATTATGTTATATTATTAGATATTAAGGTTTCTCGATTTGATAGTGGATAAATTGGTTATCGTTATCGTATTTCAGGAGGTAACGAGGCGATTGGAAACGTCTATCAGCGTATCTAGCTTGTAGCCCATACCCTGTGAGTGGATAAAACTTATTTTTCATAAATAAGTCTTCATTATATTTTAAAGTTATTTATTGTATAAAGTTGACTTTATAGCATGATTTTTAGAATAAATTGGATTTTATTAACAATTGCTTTTAAAGTTAAATTCAGTTTAATTAAATCATTTGACTAGCATGTTATATGAATATAAATGTTTCAGTATAGCTAAAGTTATTTTAAAACCATCAGAAAGTACCCAGGTGATTTTATCCCAGTCTGCGCTGATGTGAATGTGTTTCCACAGTGTATGACTAGTTACAGTGATTTTACCCTCTCTGCACTATTGTGAATGTGTTTCCATAGTGTATGACCAGATTATCAGAGGTCTTTGGGACCCACTCTCGTACACACATAGGCTTTGGGCCGTGTACTAGGGTGATTAGCCTTTGGGGCAGCTCTGCGTACGTATGACCAGATTAACAGATTATCAGCTATCAGATTATCAGATTTGAATGGCTTTGCCATGTACATCGAGATTACTCTGTACATGAGTAAGGCTATTCATTGGGTACTCTTTTTGGTGTGATTTTTCAGTATTTATTCTATTCATTGGGTACTCTTTTTGGTGTGATTTTTCAGTATTTATTCTATTATCAGATTTCAGATTATGGAATTCAGTTAATTCAGCTTTCAGAATAAAGCTTTCAGCTTATAGTATTAAGGCAGCAATATTTCATAATTTTTCATGGATATCAGAGTATTTATAGTTATTATGTTATACAGTTGCCTTTCTAGAATTATATCCAAAAAATTATGATATGATCATGTATACTTTTAAAAGTGTTACTATTTTTTTTGAAGTTCTTAACGTTAAATAGTGTAAGAATTTTCAGAAAATAGCATAAATGGAAAAGTTTATTTATTTTCAACTATCCACTCACTGAGTTATAAACTCATATCTTTTTACCATGTTTTCCTATCAGGAGAAGGTCGATTTTGAGATATTTGGGAAAGCCTGCTGAAGCAAAAGAGACCGTTTCATAAGTATGTAATGAATAGTTGGAAAACTTATGTTTATTAGGTAATTGTCTAATTTTGGGTGACAAGCATATTTGTAGAAGAGTTTGTAAGTGATGTAATACTTGTATGTTGACAGGATGATGTTGTAGAAACACTCAGTTGAATTTTGTTATATTTTGTAGTAGTTGTGGTGGCACTAGAGGAAGTGGTGGTTTCCAAAACTTTTGGTTTAAATGTCTATTTGAGATTTTGATGATTTTTCAAGTTGGTTTTGTTCATGTTACAGGGGAAATTCTATCAAAATTTTCATAGAAATTAGCACAGTCAAAATAGGTCAAGTTTGCCTTGGTGGTGGGTCCGAAATTTAGCTGGCATCTACTACCGGCGCACGACACGTGTCGAGTCAATTAGGTTGAGTCGGGACGAGTCGTGTCAGATTGGTTGCTGATAAATACCATTTTCTAATGACAGATGAAGAAAATTCGAGAGGACGAAAATTCTAGGAAAAACTCGTTCAGTGACTGCATTTTTTAAATAATTCTACATATATATCTATTTCCCCAATCTTCTGTTGTCGTGTTGAAATTAGATAACAGAAACACTGTATTTTTAAAAAAAATAATGCCTGGTTAACAATTTGCGAGAAAATGAAAGTCGAGTATTTTGTTAATCTAGACACAAGTTTTGTATGAGCTCAATGACCATAAATAAATAACCCACAAGAAATGTGTAGACATGCATGTCTAAATTGTGGTGCATGCTCTTTCTTTCTTGCTTCCATTCCACAGGTATCTAGAATTGATATGAATGCATTCAGAGTATGTTGTTTTTATTTATAAATACACAGAAGATGAAATGGGATAATTTCATTTTTAGTCACCAAACTTATAGCTAAATGTCATCTAAGTTACCTAACTTGTAGCTAAATGTTAGTCACTGGCATTTAAAAGTAATAAATTACATTGCATCATAGCGTTTTGTTTTAGAATTTTGCTGCTTCGCCCGAATGGTTGACATCCTCTCACATGCCGTGGTTTCCACGTGAATAAAAAAGTCTTTAAAAAAAATTCTTATAAGAGTCGATCATCCCCTCTGTCAAAAAAATTCGGACACTGTAGGCTATTGTTTGTTTTATTTCTCTCAGATAATTTCATTCCTTCTAACGCTTCCTACATTCCCTCACTATGCTGTGTTCAACCTAAAGCTCTCACTAACCAATAAATCTTACCTTGGGAACGTTTATTTCAACATGTTAAATGTTGGAAATTAGAAAGGACCACAATGATGACCACAATACCTAGCTACATTCTTCCTTACGCTTCCTACTTTCACTCACTAGGAATAGAACTGTAAATAAATCTCCCCTCTCGATGGTTCCCTGGAAACGTTTATTTTCAACATTTTTATTGGTGAGAATTAGAAATCATAATGCTATTCTACATAAAATAATCAATTGTAGAAAGAAATAAAGACACAAAAGATTTATAAACGGTTCACTTCAATATGAGACTATATGCTCTTCCGTCCACGCAATAATTTACTAAGATGAAAAATGTTTACAAGAGAAAATCGCACAACTTATATACTTTAACCTCTCTTTCTCTCTTTTATGATGGTAGTATAAAAGTCTAATACCAACTCCATATTTATAAGATAAATTAGGACAAAATTGAAATTTACTAGGTATCGTCCCCAACCCCCCCAACCCCGGGTGTTCCTTCCTCTGGGTCAACTTCTTGCCTTTTGAATGTTCTATGAAATATTTTCGATCTATGAAATCATGCCTTTTGAATTTTGATGGCGTTCTTAAATGTCCTAAGAATATTTGCATAAAATCTTTCGTCCTTTCTGTCTTGTTCTAGTCCACAATAATATATATATTTTTTCCGTATTCCAATTTCTCGCGTTGATCACAAGGCATATTACTTCTTATTTTATTCGTAATCACATATTTTCTTCTTTATTAAAACACATAAAGTACGCTGATTGGTTGCCGATGC